TAAAAGTAAGATTAGGTGGGAGGATATTGACGCATAAATTGATGTTTTATTTTGTTCAAATAAGGATGTTCAATATTCGATTATTCTCGATATGTTTGATTTGTGTACGCTCGAATTACAAAAACGTTTAATGCCGGCTAGAGAAAAAATAAAACTATCTGATGATGCGAGATTAGAACGTGATCGAGCAAAAGTAAGATAAAATGGATTTGAATGTATCTGCAGATGTGGCTTGTACAAATTATTTCTGACATATTGTGGAAAGCTAATTAAAAATAGTCTAGTTTAATGTTTCTTGACCGTACCTCATCTTTACAGGTATTTTTAAACGATCCTAATTGATTGGGTGAAGATTTTTTGTATACATAGCCTTAGCAATTTAGAAGAAATCTACTCTCGAAGTGTAAGATTTCAGCTTCTTCAAAATGATGATCATTCGTTTTGTTTAGAAACTTGGTGAAACAGTTGTGGAGCCAAAGAATCTATCAAAATTACAAACATCGTTTCCTGACGGTAAGAAACATAGAAGAAGTTTCTCTTTTTCACAGAATCGTATGCTTGATATCTTATGACAATCTGGTTTTATTTACGAAATCCTCCTATGCTGTGTATGTTTTAAGAACAGTAGAACAAGTTGTTGACTATTAAGTAGTACAGAAGAAGAAAAATATAATTAATTGAGCAGTTGTCGTGAATTTTAATATGATCAATTCTGGGATATTTTTATCTTTAACCGGTCATTTTCAATAGTAACGGACTCTGTAAACGAAAAGAAAAATATACTTTGATACACATTACTCATACACGTGTTATAAGATAGAAAAGAAAACCATTCCAAAACATATTCCAAACGCTTTTTATATACACGCATATAAAAAGAGGTTTAGTATACGAAGCAACTTGTACACAGTGTAGAAAACAATATATGACGAAAGCAAATCGATATCTCTAGACACAAATAAGTGAGAAGATCTTATCGATAAAAAAAGAATGGCAAAATAAATACACTACTAAATACTTTTGGCAAAATAAATACAAATACTCAACAAAGATCAGCCAATATCTCTAAACAATATAAACAAGCAATAAACTCGGTGACTTATTCAAAAGATTCGATATAACCAGATTTAACACTGATAAACTGCTAACAAGTATAAAAGAGATTGATCACGACAATTTGGATGAGATACTTGTCACACAAGCAACATTTCAAGATGAAAAAAAAAATCAACAGCTAGAAACAAATCAGCCATAACAAACCATTTGGAAAAAAACTGGACATACACTCACTGAATCCGATTTTTGTATACTACTGGTCGAACAACATAAATATAGATTACTGATTAAAGAATCGTTGCTAATTTGTGCTCGGATCCCTGTCCGTGACGACACAGACAGATCGGTATCCGTTTATGTATTTCCAGACGGACTGGAAAACAATGTTATGATTAGGACTAGAGATAATGAAAGACTAATATCGTCACTGGTTAAAACATCAACTCGATAATAATGTCTAATATTTCTGCATATATATAAATAGCGTTTGGAATATGTTTTGGAATGGTTTTCTTTTCTATCTTATAACACGTGTATGAGTAATGTGTATCAAAGTGTATTTTTCTTTTCGTTTACAGAGTCCGTTACTATTGAAAATGACCGGTTAAAGATTGAAACATCCCAGAATAGATCATGTTAAAATTCACAACAGCTGCTCAATTAAACATATTTCTAATTTCGAAATCGTTGTCCGCACAGTTAAGCTCAGAAAAACAAGATATATAATATTTTCGCGACGGAATGGAAGGCTAAGCAAAAACATTAAATTTGTCGGTGAGGATTGATTCTGTCCAAGTTTTTTGACAATACTCGACTCATCCGTCTCACCGACCAACTCTATGATGTTTTATCTTTGTCTACCGAAGAAACTTGCTCGTCTAAAAAAGCGTGTCTAAAATTGTTTTACTGTTCTGAACGACAGATATGGCATGTTTTTCTTGTTTTCTAATGACTTTCATTGCCCTTGTTTTAGATATTGGTTCAAATAATTCTGGTTTTTATCAGTTAATTGCTGTTCTCACACATAAAGGACGATCAAGTTCCAGTGGACACTATGTGGCATGGATTAGAAGAAATCAAAGTAAGATAGAAGAAAAATTAAGATGAAAACAAATAGATAGTTGTCTCCTTTAATTTTATTTAGCTGAATGGCTTATGTTTGATGATGAAAATGTAACAGTTGTAACAGAAGAAGATGTTATCAAATTATCCGGTGGTGGTAAGTGTTTGGGTTGTTTTGCTAAAAAATCTACTTATTACTATATATGAACAGTATTTTTTGCTTCAGATACTTTAAAGATAATTTACTTTTTGTATATTTCTCAAAATTATTCCAAACGGTCATAATATTTAGAACTTTCTGAAAAGCTTTGCCAAATTTAGTGCTGCTAGAGAGCTTGGACTAATCTTAAGATTTAGCTCTGTTGAACGGCAGAGCCTGTTTTTCAGTGTCAATGAAGCTTTTAAATAGGAAAAAGATTTCGCTAGAATCAGAACAGCATGTTTGAACTTTTGACTTTTTCGAATCTGTAAAAAACTGTTCAGGGCAAAATAAGAAAATCGAATTCTGGAAGAAATAATACCTTGCCATGTGGCTACCATTACCGGTATAGGGCGTTGACAGTGTCAGCTTCAATAGCTCGATAACTTTCTCTGCACTTAGTTGTTGAACACATTTACTAACCATGTACTAGTTGTCCGTCAAGCCCCGAAGACTAACCGGATGAACTATATTGTATCTCACAACGTAGTCAGTTCGCTATCGGACAGGTGATCCGAGGCACTAAGACATAAATAGTTTGTCCAAGTTTATTACACGACTTAATGGTGTCGAAGTTCAAGCACAACACCTTTGAAGTACGTGATGAACGACATAGTCATCGAGCCATTCTTTAAAAAAAAATAGCTTTTTTATAGAAAACTTCCACATTAAGAGTTAAAAGAAAATCTTCAATCTGAACAAAAAATATTTATCTTATTTCTTTATTTTAAGGAGATTGGCATACGGCTTATGTGGTGATCTATGGACCAAGACCTGTTGAAATTGAAGAAAAATTGTCTGCCTCTGAGTCGTCTTCGAATGCTACAGTCTTAGAAACACCTAGAACTTGACACGATGGTATTTTATTCAATATATGTATCAGTCAAGCTTTTCTAGAAGAAATGTATCGTAAACAAAGTGTGTTTACTTCTTTTTTTTGTTATAATTATTCTATGGTTTTATCATTATGTTTTTTCTTTTCATATGACTCTTGAAATAAAATAAAAAGTCAATTTTACTTATAATATCTTACTTCGCTGATGTTTCTGATTTGTATGATAAATACATCTTAGTTGAAAAGTTTCAGAACAATGTAGTATCTTCCTATGGATGATAATGAGGAAGAGCCAGATGCACAATTTTTTTCCATCTACGCGGTACGAAATTGATATTCAAACTTAGAATAATATTTTTGCAGATAATATCATACTACGTACGTAGAGGCATACTTAACTTTCATAACGAAAAACAAAACGCGAAGACGTTGTTTTGTGTTCATCGAAGAATTTATACAGCCGAATGTGTTTATTTTGGAACACAATGAAATCGTTCGTTTATTCGGTTTAATCTCAGTTCAAATGGCAATAATTTTAGCATAACGTTTTTAGAATTAAATCTTAAATCTCCCCTTCTCGAATACAATAATTTTATTCATTCATTCGTTCTCTCTATATATATAGAACAGAAATGGGCTGGATATATACAGTTTTCTCCAATGGTGGTAGCACGTTCACGTAGCCACTCGAAGAAAAGAAATGAAAATGTGTATGTTATTGTTATAAAAAAATAAACAGAAAGAAGAGCGTATAATTCATAAACATGGCTGTCAGTTATCGATCATCATTATACTAAAATTTTACTCCTCTTTTCTAAATTTAATGTTAGATATGAAAAAAATGGAAGAAAACGTGTTAAATTTTTAATATTCACATGTTACGTCGCTAATTATGGCTAGATTGATACGTAGTCATACAAAAATACGCAATGAAACAGGTGAGAATTTTTATTTTGCTTCAATGTACTTTTTGACCTAGTCTATTTACGTAATCTATTCATTAGTCATACACAACAGAATAGAAAGAAAGAAAAAACGAACTGTGAGTCAAAGAACAAAATCTTTTTACGACAAAAAGAGAAAGAAAAGAAATGTTCATGACTTTTAAAGATTTTAAGTTATCAACTGATGCAGCAGCAAAATGTCGTAGTGAAAAGAAAAAGTTGTAAGTGGTTCATGTCCACAACTTAGCTGCAATTGCTTTTAAGTAATGAAAATCAGTTCATCTCATTCATCCCTCTAGCAGACATAACGGATGGGGTAAAAGTTCTGCATTAATTTTGTTTTTGATATCGCGTTGAAATGGAATATTGTAGAGACTTTATCCATTTTTTGTTAGAAAGAGCAAAGTGTTTTTAGTAGAGAAATATATAAAAGTGTTTGATCGGAAATGTGTTTCGAAGGCTATAAAAATCTTAGAACATAAGATATCGAGAAACTTCGTTCCGTAACTTCGGTCACAATTTTTGTATCCAAATATATTTATTTGACCTTTTTCATTGTCCACTTTCAATGTTTTCGAGCACCATATATATGAAGTTGTTCATTACAACGAAAGCCCTCGTATGATATTAAAAAGTTGGCCTTGAGAACAAGAGACTGAACAGAAGATGTGATTAAAAACTCAATTTGGCGTTTACAACGTGATTACAAGTTTTTGTCCTAATATCTCACAGAGCAGCTGTGTTCGATTCCAAATAATATCATTTGATAGAAGACTCGATAAGCTGTCTTTTTCATGTAAAGCATACAATTTCTAACAACTTGCCTCTCAAAGTAGAATTTCTTTTTACGACTGCAATCGATAGTGATGAAAAATCGGTGGTAACATAGGATGTTATAAAAGCGAGCTCATTTTCGGCGAAGAAAATTTCTTTGTGCAATAATAGTGCCCTCTCCTTACATTATAAAACTCGAAATAAAACAAATAAAAAGATAACCTTTCTTATTGGGTGACATTTTTTCTAAATTCGAAAAGGTTGCGAAACAGTTTCCCGATGTCTTTTGTTCTAAGATTTCTGTGGCCGTCGAGACACATTTCTGATCAAACACTTTTATATATTTCTCTATTAGATACTTTAATCTTTTCTAACAAAAAAAGCATAAAGTCTCTACGATATTCCATCTCAACACTATATCAAAAGCAAAATTAATGCAGAACTTTTACCTCACTCGTTACAATTTATTAATTTATAAAAGATAATTTTTTAGTTTGAGAAAATTTTACAATTATTTATTTCTCAATCGTATAATTTAATTACTTGTAGAGAAGACGAAATGTGAGAATAATGTCTCAAATTTTATTCTGTGATATAAATTTGCAAACTATTAGTTTGAGATTATTTATATTGATTATTTTACTTTATACAAGTCGAATTGAAAAAATCAATATCATATAAAAGAGAAATAATTGTGCTGCTTTGCTTTAAGTCTGTTATATAGAAGGAACTAACATGCTACATAAATGTAATTGTTAGAAATTATATTCACAAACTGAAAAAGGAAATTAAATATACTATCATAGATCCGCTGAATAATAAAAACGATCATCTAAGAAGCAAAAAGAGGTTCTTGCTGTTTTCTACACCATATTTATCCTAATTATTTCAAAAAGAAGTAGTATTGAGTTCTCTTGTACAAGATCATAAGATTGTACTTTATCTTTGTATTTCAGACTTGCATGCAATAGATGGTTTACCTCAAACTGATACAACATGCACTACCACTCAAGTTGTTAGTAGTGGTCTATTATTAGAACTACGTACAGAATTTGAAACATCCACATCACTTCGTATTCCTGTTGGTTTCAATTATGTTCACTTTCTTCTTCTGTTGCTCTATGATACCTGTTCGATTCGTGATGAAAATTTTCCATTAACACGAACATACTATCGTTTACGACGAAAATTAATAACATCAAAACGAATTATTATCAATGATGATACGTTAGAACATCGTCAAGAAATTTTAGAGTGTATATATAAAATATTAAATAAAAACGAACAATATTTAAATGAATATGTTGAAGAAACAAAACTTAGTATTCGACAATGTCCAATTAATTGTTTATTTCGCCTCTATTCACCGTTACATATCTATTTTAATATGGAACCATTGGAAAACAACGAGGAGAAAGTTGGGTAAGTGAGATGTCATTCATGTAGAAGATTAAAATGAATTCTTATTTGTTCTTCTACTCTAGTGTGATTTGTGCTGGTGAATTGTTTGATCTATTCCGTTCCCATTTTATGAAACAATATACGCTTGAGCGTTGCGATTATTTACATTATTGTATTGCGCATGGTAAAACTAGACTAATACAAGCATTTTTCGATCAAGACACAACAGATACGTGGCTAACATCAAAAATAAATAGTGCAAGTGATCGACATTGGTTACCGCTGCATTATGCTTGTTATGTCGGTGATCGTGATATAGTGGAAAAATTATGTCATTACAAACAAAATATAAATCCATTTCATTTGTTAATACCAAAAGCAAGGAATCGAGATTTTAATGAACATCCATTTGACTATTTATTAAGAGCTACTGGTATGGGCAGAGAAACAGATGTCTCATCAATAAGAATACCCTCAATTGCGATTGACAATGAGACAAAAACACAAGGTGATGTAGATGATGAAGGAGAGGAGACTGATGAAGAATTGGATGAATTGCCTACTACTGCGACAACAGAAACGATGGGACGTGAGAGAAGAGATAGTTTTGATTATGGCACTTCGCCGTTAACACAAGCATATGATGTTGAGATACCAGATGCTGATGAATTAGGTACGAAGGATTATTGGGATCATATCATATATACAAAAATCAAATTGTTGTCTTTTAGAATATTCAGCCGTACCACAATTATCTCGTGAGAAATTTTTACGTAAAATAGCTGAACAACCAAAGGGCATTATTTATGTAGTACCGTCACCTCTACTATTGGCCGCAGCATGTGTCATACAAGAACGAACAGTTGCCTACGACGATATTGTCAAAATTTTACTTCAGTCAAACTTAATCGATTATGATGGTATTAATCACGTATCATTGACTAAAAATGTTTGTGATTATTTCTCAAAGAGTAAATATGTCAATTTTAATCAAGCAACAATTTACAGAGATCTTGATTGTAAAGATGTAGCTGAGACGATCTATTACAAATGTGATGCACTATTTACAACAACAACGGTATGCGAGACGATTATAGAATAACTCTTCTAAATATGTGATGTTAAAAACACGAAAAAGAGAATAGTGATAAAACCATTGAGTAGTTTACCTGCCCCAGTAAACAAGAAATTTGTGTTTTTTCTATTTGCTAGTGAAGTCTTTAGTAAAAGGAATACAAGTGAAAACTTGTTTGCTGAATTGGTGATTGTCTGCTACAGACTAGTTTCAACTGTCTTATACCAATCTGACATATTTTAATCAACTTGTAGAAAATTCGATTACCTAGAGATGGTCGAGTAAGTACCATGCTTTAAATGTGGTTCTCTCAACCTTTGCATGTCTGTAGTAACTATTAACTGTTTTTCCTCCTTTGTTGTTGTGCTTCTTAGCTAGAATGCGGTATAGATTTTGTCTTATTTATCTTGCTCAATCTTAATTCACAAACAGTTTGCTTTTATTGTCGTTCACACTCTCCAACGAAACAGTCATATTTCTTGAAGGCTATTAGTGTTACATTGAATTATTTGTACTTATTCTACTTTTATAGAATATTAAAGACAACGATATATCAAACAATCTTATTCCACCATCGAAAACTGTCAATAATTATAGTACACCGATCGAGGCTACAACAACTACACAAAATGATAGTCGTCTACTATTGACTGCTCCAAGTAGTGAAGATGGTACAGTGACCACGATCTCAGAAGATGGAAGTTTGACAAATGCCGATATTACAGCTCAAATATACTGTTTCATTACTGTACTTCTACAAAGAAATATTTTTATGCATTTTCCGAATTGGGATCATCATCTACTCAAAAATGTTTTGCAATTATATTCTGAACAAATTCAAAAAATATTTCATTGTTATCCAAAAGCATTAGCAACACAAGGACAAATTATACATAGTGAAAAGTTAAATGAATTGACATGGAAATTAATTGTTAGTTATGAAATGATGGCCACATCCGATGTAAATATAGCAATTTAAAATTAATATTTTAATTTACTATCTTTGTTTTCTAGCACTCTGAACCGTCTGGTAAAACTTTTAGTTATCAATTATTTCAAGTTTCCGTTGAATATTATTTTATTTTATCTTATGCTGATTTATTAGCCGACACATATTTTACTATTTATCATACTCCTCTATCAATTGTTGTTCAAAATGAATGTTTGACTATGTTAGATACGTTGTTACATTGCTTTTTCACACGTCGTGGTTTTTCAAGATGGGGTACATTATCCATATACGAATTGGAAACATGTTTTGATCTATTATTTCAATCAAAGAAAAATTTTCAAACATTCTCTTTATTATGTTCAATTGTTAAACGTTATTATCAACAAACAACAACTGATTCATTTTCAGATGGAAATACGTCAATGATTCAACGAATATTTGTCTATGCATTTGCATCTTGTGTTAAACGAAATGCAAGAATGGAATTAGATTATTTAATAAGAAATTTTTCATTAATCTATTATGATAGTTGTTTACACTATCCATCTGATATTAGACATAATGTATTATCTTATTGTGTCGTTCGTAATCAGGCCTCTATCTTAGAACAATTAATGTTAAATATAAAACAAAGTATGTACAAAATTGAACAACAAAAACAAAATTCAACATGGAATCCAAGTAAAGCATGGTCTTTAGCTACCACTCTCTATTCTTTAACATTACAACCAACTAACATTGATACCGAACAACAACAACAACAATCAACGTCTCTCATCTCCACTATTCTTCATTTAAATCAAGAACTACAAAATGGAGAGAATTCATCTAATGGTGGTGCTAGTTCAAATAATCAAAATAGTACTTCTCCATTGAGTTATGCAATGAATTTAGTTTATACGTGTACGGGCGATGAATATCGACAATGTCGACGTGTACGAAATACAGCTATTAGTAAACGAAAACAACGTGGAAATGAAAAGCGACAACCAATTATTTTACAAAATGATTTCGAATTTAGACCATCAAGATCAGAAACCACTACACCAACACATCAGCATCATAAACCTGGTGGACGATTATTAAAAAATTTGAAACAATTACAATTTAAACTTACTCATCCAAATCAACATTATGTTCAACAAATTAATAATTCTGATTTATTTACACAAAATCAACAGAGTGTCAATGTAAGAAATACGTTTTCAGTAAAATAGTTAAATAGCATAAATTGAGGAACAAATCGTTTTTTCTCATAGAAAAATTCTGATGTGCTTTTACGTTTACAGGTAGGTGATTAAGTGATTTAGACAAAAATAACATGATAGATTTTGTATTTTATTTTCGACATTTAATCATTTAGTTTAATAACAAAACTAATTCATTGTTTTCTTATTTTCTTGATTTCATGTAGTGCGAAACTTGCTATACACCATTTTAATGTCACTATTGACCATTAACACGGACAGAAGAATGTGATTAGTAGATTTATGATCAAAAGAATGCGTTTAATAAAGGATAAATGTTCAGATAATTTAAAAAGCAGATTTATTACGTATATGTCTGAAAAATACTTCATTCTACTGAAATATGGCAAAAATACCGTAAATTTTACATTTTTATATAGAATCGTTCCCGTGGTGGTCAGTCAAATGAAACATTCCAGTCATCAGTAGATGAGAAAGATACTTTTGTACAATCACCAGTATCTCGTTCAATACCCGACATTTCATCAATTCGAGCTGTTGTTCGTAATTCTGAAACTTATGCATTAATAGGCGACTGTGATGAAACAAATACAACGACGGTAGAACAACAGAATCTATTACAACTTGAATCTGAGAACAGTAACAAGCATATAGCCGACAGAGGATGTCGAGCATTAATAACAACACCGTTGGTACCACAGTTAACTTACATTCCTGTTCAAAGTGAATTAGATCAAAATCAAATTGGTTATGGTGTTGGCAAAGGAGGAGAAGATGAAGATGACACAGTTAGAGGACAAACATTATGTAAGTTTGTTCTTGTTTCTCACTAATATGCATCAAACTGTCTCAAATTCTCTTCTTAGTGCATGTAGCAGCAAGATTACAAGGTCATGAAGATATTGTTCGAGTATTGATAGCGGATAGCCCAATTGGCAATTCAATAATGAATCTCAAAGGCCAGATCCCTCTATTGTGTGCAATTGAAGCAGGTAGTACATCAACTGCTCAGTTACTATTAGAAGCTGATCCACAATCATTGACGGCTATCGATGATAAAAAATCATCGGTATTCCATTATGCATGTCATAATAAAAATGATGTTATCCTTGCAAGTGCCATCGCATTATTAAGACGATTAAGTTCAAGTCAAGCAGTAAGAGTACAAGCACTTCGAAATTTAGTTGAAAAAAATTCTGTCCATGAAACACCGTTCAGTATTGCTTGTTCAAATGGTTCTATTAAATGTATAAAACAATTTATTTCATCAAAATGGTTACATCGGCGTATACCATTATCCGATTTAATTACAGCAGATGCAATGAAAACATGTATTGACAATGATCAATTGGAAATTGTTACTTATCTCGTATCTGATTTGAAACGTTTTCGTGTTATACTAGATCTTGTCATTGACACTATTTTTACTGAATCAATGCAACAAAATCAAGACGTCATTGTTGGTAGACGATTGTACAATTTATTAGAATATTCAATTTTATTAAAAAAGGGTGATTTTGTTAAAATATTTGTTAGTGTAGTAGTACCACGACGATCAATGTTACATCCTAAAGTTCAACAACAACATCCGTATCTATTGGTGAGAAATAGTAGTATCACAAATATTCACCAACAACAACTAAACAGAGGAGGTTTACAAGGTGATCTAGATGGTATTGGACCAAACACTCTCCATGATGAATATAAAAAATTTCTAACAAGATATTCATTACCATTCATAAATGAACAGTGCGATCAAACGCCTGTAAGTATATCACTTTAAACAAATTATATGTTAAATAATTTGCTTTTGTTTTAGATCCAACGTATGTTAAAGTCAAAAAAATTGTTACCATACGTACCTAGTTTATTGGAACAATTTATTGATGAAAATGGTCTGGATTTATCGGTTATTGATGATTGTCTATGTTCAAAACCAACTGATGAACATTGTATTTATGGACGAAATAGTCTTACATCTCAAACATCATCACAACGTTTTTCAACGGCACATTGGTTAAAAGAACATCCATTAAATCTCATATCAGAGTTTGATTATCCACCGATTTATGATCATCCAATTGTTAAAACAGCTGTTGATACAAAAATACAATTATTTGGAAATTTATTATACGCTTTTATACTTCTTTTACAAGTAATCTATGTTGTACTTTATACAGGTAGGCAACAGATTATATAATCTACGAAATTTATTATCGATGTCTGTTGTTAGGTGTTGCATTGACAACAAGCACTCCCATAGCCTATGATTCAACTTATAATAATTTTGAAAATTCAACATGTCTTGATATGTGTGAGATGTTAACAAATAAAACATTTAATGGTGGTCATACAAAACGTACACAAACTCTAATTATATTTCGTTTTCTGCTATTAATTTTTTCATGTGCAGCATTAATTAAAGAATTTATTCAAGTTCTTACTCAACGTGGAAGATATTTTCGAACAATTTTTATTAATTCACTTGAAATTCAAACGTATACATGTGCAGCCATATTTGCCATGAATACAAATGATTGTACAAAATTAACGGGCATTAGATGTAAATATCAATGGGATCTAGGTTAGACTTAAATATTTTCATCATAAATTTAAGTTTTTATTTCTTTTATTTCATTTAGGTGCAATTGGAATAGCCACTGTATGGACAACTCTATTGTTAGTATTTGTAAATTCTCTTAAAATGGGCAAATATGGTCTTTTATTTATTAATGTTTTTTTAACATTTTTAAAATTTTGTCTTATTTACATTTTTATATGGATTGGTTATTTATTAGCATTTCATATGCTTTTAACACATGTGGCATCGTTTCAATCCATCTTTTTAGCCATACCAAAAATGGTGGCAATGTTAACTGGAGAATATGATTTTGATGATTTATTTTTTATTAATGGGGAACATGTCAAAGGCACAACGGCAGCCATGGTTCTGTTTGCATTGTTTGTATTCACAATGAATATTTGTGTCATGAATATTTTAAGTAAGAATAATCAAAGACATAAAAGTCAACTGTGGGGATAGCCTCGAAAACTGTATTGATTTGACGTTTTGTTCATAATTTAATGAAAAATCATATTTCTTTTGCATCGAATAAGAATGTTTGCTTTCTAAAACCGATAAACATTTCTAAAAAAATCCAATAATATCCGTTAAATTTGGGTAAAAATCGATACTCTTCTTTACGAAGAGTACCAGGTATTTATAATATTCAAACAGAAGTTATTTGAGTGAAATATACGCAAAAAAACATATTATTAGATTAAGACGTTAGATTTTAACTGTCTATTCATCAGTCGTCTTTGACAGAGAACCGTAGAGGGTCGAGAGACATTTAGTGACTACATACAACTTTTAAAGAATAACAAGTAACCTTTTTTCACTAATTCATTCATTTTGTTTTTTAGTCGGTTTGGCTGTTAGTGACGTAAACAAATTTCAATTGAATGCTAAACATGAAAATTTACGTTCACGTATTAAAACCATTTTAAGTTTTCAAGCAAAATTTGGTTTGATATGTCAAATATTTTCACGCATGGTTTTCGCTATTACTCGATCGTTTAAAGGCTCATTAAATCGATTTGCCATGCGTTTTCCACACGTATTAGGTCTAAAATATGATTTATCTAAATTAGATATTAGAGTGAAACAAATACAAGTACCAAGAAGCCAACAGCCAGGAAGAATTGCACAACAACAGAAAGTAATCAATTGTAAAGTCGGTTATGTATCAAAGAAAAATGATTTAACACAAACATCATTATTCATTGAAGATCCACAAGAAAAAATATTACGAAAATCAGAAGAAGTCAAAGAAGAATTGGAACGAACACAATTAAGAATCAGTCAAGAGTTACATCGTTTAACATTGACATTTGCGGCTGATTTTGATGAATTAAAACGAAAACTAATTGAAAAATAGATTTTTAATTATATATGGATAGTTTCTTATTGTTGTACTTTTTTTACAATTTATACCTGCAGAACATAAATTGTTTATTTTTATTTAGTCATACGTCACTTGATTCTATGAGCAATTCTTTTTCCGATGGCTTACGCAAATTGTCAAGAAAAAGAAAGATCAGTAGGTTAATTCTCTACTCAACTGAAATATTAAGTTAATTAACAAATAGTTACTATAAACAAAATTAGCAAGTGGCCACTTTTCAACCATCATAGATAATATTTCTTTCTTAAGCTAATCCAAGAAAAACCAAAAATATTTGCATTATTGGATGGGATTATTTTCAGACAGAGCTGGATCCGGTCCGGTAAATCGTTACCGGACAGGATCGGACCGGTAGAGACCGGTATTTTACCAGTTGAAACTTTTGAAACATCTGCCTGTTTTTCGTCAAAAAACTAAAATTTCACGTCTTTTCAGTCAAAATAAATAAGACGATGCTCAAGACATATTATTTTCATCACTTATTTTAAAGTTAAACGTTATAGACTCGTTACTGTGAAGGTTCTCTCACATGTGTCTCGCAAACTATTTAATTTCTGGGAGAAAGTCTTTCTGAAAATCGATTTTCAAACAACTTCGCCAGTTTTTCGCCGGTGTGAGTTATAATTCCAACCGGTTAGTTTACCGGTCGGACTGGACTGGGTTACCGTTTCTCAACCGATTCCAGCTGTGTTTCAAGGAGTTTCGCAAGTTTTTATGTACAACTCGCTGAAATTAAGTCTGAGAGATAATTATTTTAAAAATATTTGCGGACGGACCTTTCTCTCAAGAGAGTTTCTAGCGTGAATCTTTCTCTCTCGACCAGATGATTTCGAGACCAATGTTATTTAAGCTGATTAAAGCACAAATAGCCGTATGCCAAATTTTCTATACTGTACTTTCACACATCGGGGAAATAAAATACACGAATGAGCTCTCCGTATTTTTAATCGGCTGAAAAACTATTGGAATACAGCCTTTTTCTGTCAGGGTGTCGAAAAACGTTTGATTAATTATCATATTGAATAGCAAGTTTTTTCGACCAAAAAATGACTTCGATGAACTAGCACAAATACAACGAAAATTGCAGAAAGTGTCTCATATTACTTCAAGGTACTTGATGTGCTGAATAAATCGCATCCTTTATCACTGGCCACCTATGTAAGAGCATAGTCGAAATGCTTTTCATCGCCGAACAGCTCCAGTAATTTACAACTCCAAGTCAACTCTAAATGTACTAAAAATCTTCTCAACTTTTGAGCTGAAGTTGAACTTATTTTAAAACGTTTACCAGCAGGGGCTGAGTTCTAGTGTTTCATTAGAATTTAGCAAACATTTATACCCTAAATTCTGATGGTGTCAGCAATGGTGGTGTTTTGATCAAATCAGATTTTCGAACATTATTTAACTAAATTCTGCTGTGTGTTACTAAATTCTGATGGAGGTATATACCCATAGGAATTTTTCACCCATCAGAATTTAGGAGCCTAAATTCTGGTGTATCATACAACACACAGCAGAATTTAGTGAAAAAGACACCAGAATTCTTTGCAATATCGGAGGAGTCGACTGGGTAAGAGTGGGCCACTAAGAAACATTCGGTCACAATTTAAGCTCAAAAAGATTGCTAAATTCTGGACTTTTTCTCATTCTACTGAAATTTCTCTTTTCACATTTCAATACTAAATTCTGCTGTAGCTATGCTAAATTCTGGTTAATATTATAGAATTCTATAAGTCTAGGAACTCTGCCAGCCCTCACGTTTACTGATTTTGTCTTTAATCTATTCCAGAGAACAGATGGGAAAAATTGTTGGCCAGAGACTTAGGGTATACGGCCAAAAGACAAAGGCATTTTTGCAGTCAAATACTCAAATTGTGGATCAGATATCTTGTAAATTATACGGTACCCTTTAACAAAAATAGGCTTTCGTAGGAGCGATACACTACATAGATCGCATCCTCAAGGACTATCTCAAATTTTGTTTTCAGGTTGTCTGTGTTCTAGAGCATACAAAACTGGATATGTAGTCAATATTTGAGCCTTATCCGGGTTTTCATCCTCCAAATGTGAGTGTTTTCCTGACAGACCCACCAGCTTTCGTACTCTCAAACTCCGAAAATTTGGAAGATAAAAAATAATTTTTTGAAAAAACAGAATGAGATTTAGCCAACATCATTTTGCCACGACTACTTATATGTGTTCTACTTTGTCATATGGGCACCGGGAGTAGTATCGAAAAGGTTTTTCAAAGAGGTTCCTAGAGATACAGTCAAGAATCCTGCTAATAGGATTTTCGCAATATTTCTACTATTATGATGAAGAGCGACTATAATTGTAGACATTCTGACAGTTTGACCTTATTGGAATCGCCTTTGATTAGTTTATGAATTTTATAGCATTCAATGAAAGTAGCCTAAAACCGGATATTTTTAACGAAATAGTTTTTTCATTGGATTATTCAATCTTTTGTTGAAAAACAAACATTGTCTCGAGACTCAGCGTGGTCAATAATCTGTGTTGTCATCTTTTCATCCTAATTAAGTCAATTAGTCAGATTGAGAGATTCTGTTATATTCATTATTTGTAGTGAGGATTGACTAAACCACAACACTAGTCAGAAGTGTACCTCTAGCAGATTATCAGTCACTCAAAGTCATCTTGGATTCTAGGATAATGATGTGCACGGATACTAGAGGTCTGCATGGACGCTTTTTCTGTTCTTGGGGCGAATAATGAAAAATAAGAGTTCTACATCAGGAATCCCAGATCTTCTAATTATGGCAGAAAATTTCTGATTTTTGAACTTTTTTCTGCCTCATTTCTGATCTTCCGATTTTATGTGAATTTGAACTGAAGTTTGGTCATAGCGCATGTATTGTATCCCATTCATATCGCTTTCTGTTCTGTTAGTAGGCACTGGACAATAATATCCCAATAGTTCGTTAGAAGTCTTCTTTGTACAGATCCTTATCTCAGAAACTGCTCATTCTTCAATCGATTACAGTAGTCTGCGAGCTTAGACTTACTTTGTACATACGAGCGCTTGAGAACTGGGAAAAATTCTGAAGGTTTTC